CAGAGAGGTGTTAACTTGTTGGCACACCACAGCTCTGCTGGCATTAAAGACACCACCTGGGACACTGACCAGGAATGAGAGTCATTTATAACCAGCGTGTGTTAAACCAGAGTACCTGTCATGTATTGTAGCCAGTCTTCTTGCTTCCTGTAAAAAGCTGTGTGTGCAGCACTGGTATATGGGATATGACAGCAGTGACTATCCCTGCTGAGACTTTTAACAGAGTGCACCCTCAGACAGACCTTGCAAAGAGGAGAGTGAGTATTGTGATGCTGGCCTGAAGGCTCATTGAGAATGGAAATGTGGAGCTGTCTATTTTTTTTACACAGGCTAGCTTATGTATCCAAGTTAATCTGTTTTTCCTGGACGATGGTGGTCATTTGGCTTACATACACCCCCTTAGAAAAGGATCAGTTAAAATGCTGAAGCCTGAAACTGGTGGAATAATAAACCTATAGTAAAAGCCTTAACATTAGAGAAACAATGTGGCAGATGTAGAATTAAAAAGAACATTGCTTGTAACATTGTTGGGTGTGTTTAATAAATGTTTTGTTTTAATATCAAGTAATCTGTAACACTGGTAGGAATCCGAAGCTGATGAGCGTGCCCACCTGGAATGGAAAGTAGAACAATTGGTTGGTGTTACTAGTAGGCTTTATGGGCTGTAATTATTAGTATTCCTAATTTCCATAAGAGCCCACACTGTAATAAACAGCCGGGGCTGCAAGCACAGGATTCTCAGCTTATGAAGTTCCTTTATTTGCAAGTATAATAAAATCAACCTATGTAGATGAAGTGTTGCTGTATAAACAATTACCACATCCTCAGAATACAATGTAGTGTATACTGTACTCTTAAGGAAGATGGCCTCTTTTGCCTAAAATATATTTGTTTATTACCTTGAATGGAATGTATGCTAAAATCTGAATTTGATGCACTCAATTCCATTCATACACCCTCACCTATATTCACTCTTTTGATTTCAAAATGAGGAAAGATGAAAGAGTAAGTTGTATTCCCAGTAAAACGAAACCCTCCATGGTTTGTGTTCTGTAAATCAAAGATCATGTGCAAAGGTACTAATTTACTATAGGCTTGTTCTCGTTATTTAATTACTGCATGATGTTTTCAAGAAACTGAAAGATTTATTTTCATACCTCATTCATACCCTGTTAAATTTGTTAAATTTGTTTGAACTGTTAGTTATGTAGCTTCACTCATGTCATACATTTCATGAAAACCCTGTTAGTACGGTTGGGTACCGCTTCTGGAAAACGTATCGCGGTATGCCGTGAACTATTTTGCATGTTTATATATGGAGACTCTCTCATAGTTTGATTTCATGATTAGTAAAGCATATTGAGGTGAATACAAAATAAAGTAATGAAAATTGTTTTTTTTTTAAATTGGAACCAAAGAACTAAAAAAAACACTGAACAGTGTAACAGAACAGTTTAACAACATGCAGATTTTTGTCAATCATTAAATTATTAAATCAGGTACTTGCAAGTTTAACATTTTTTCTTTACAATAAGTAAAGTTGGCATTTACAACCTTGTGAAACATGTTTAGCATGTTTGATTGCCCTTGGATATTTCATCTAAAATTTCAAGGAATCCTCAATACTTGCTTAAAACATTGCTGAGACAAGACATTCTATATTGTCTTAAACTTAAGACAGTCTTACCTACAATAAATCAAAGTATGTCTAATGGTAGTAATGGAATTAAAAACATGATCAAGACTAGAATTCTTTCCTGACTAGAGTTAGTTAAATCAGAAAAACTAGAAAAAACAGCACGTTCAATGGGTCATGGGAAAATTAGTATGTAACATTTACCAATGTCAATGGTGATCAACCCTAAATAAAACAACAACTGTACTCAGTGGATTTGTAAAGGAGTATTTGATGAAAATTTTCTCTGATTCTCCGTTAAAAATGTTTTGATTGGGAATGCCAGTATCGATGAAAATCAAGGTCGTTCTGAACTAATTAGCTGTTATCATTTCTGCGTGATTTCCGAAATCACGTCATATTTCTAATCTTATAGGCCAATGATATGCAGGAAATACCTTTAGTGTGACTTTTTTACTCACCCTTTTAAAGTTTACGACATTTTTATTGCAGTTACTTTGTTCTTTGAATCAACTTTCTTCAACTTTTTATGAATGTAAGCAGTAGAAAATCTTTGTAAAAATTGGAAAAACAAAACTGCTGCCAGAAATTACTGAGCATACGGTATGTACTGCGTTACTAAAGAACCAGTTTACCAGTATACCGGTTTTACCATGCACCTCTAGATGTTAGTGTACTGGTTTAAATATTTTTCCAAATGTTTTTATTTCCAAAACTCCCTGTGAAGTGATGTTAAAAGGTGATGCATTTTTATCAGTCAAGCTGGGAACTTATTTTTCACCTGAGAGCCATTTTTTGTTCTTTTTGAAGGCTCAAATATTTTCCTATATTTTAGGCCTAACATTTTTGCTATACCTTTTATAATCATTTTTCTATGTAATAATAGCATTTTTCAAAGAAATGCAGATGTCTATTGTCTTGCATCACTGAACAGTAATTATAAGAGCTGGGATGATGTCCAGTGCATGTTTATGCTTCTGGACTACACCTCTCATTAAACATTATATGCAGTTTTGTTCTCTTTTGTTGAGCTGGTCACTTTTTTAGGATTTTCCCTTGAGGTGTTCTGCACAAATATTTTTATTTGATTTTATTGTGAAAATCTGTTAATTTTATTTTATGTTATTTATAAATACTGAAATAAACCACTCTGAGGTGGTTTTCTTCATAATAGCATTTAATAATAAAAATGCAAATATTGACGTTAACAGAAGTAGACACCTAGAAAGACGATGGGAAGCTTTTTGTAAATGGTGTCCTGAAATAGTTGTATAGTGTATAATTGGGATGCTAATATTTTTTTGAACATAAAGACTCTGTCTTGTATCAGAAATAGCAGGCATTTGTCTATCTACTTGAAGGCTGTGAGAGAAAAAGTAGTATGTGAATGCATGCTTTAATGCATGTACTCAAGTGCCAGAGAGAACATCAATATATTGAAATAATCAGAAGGACCTGAGTTACTTGGTTAATTATTCCTGCTCTAATTGTGGCCTGCAACGTAACTTTTCTTTTGGCCTTGCATTTTTTGGGGTCACTTAATATTTGGAATATTTTTAAAGGGAGGTGTGGCAGTCAGAAGTGATTGAGAGCTCCAGTGAATGAACGGTTTTGAGTATACTTTTTTTTTAAGTGGAAGGTTATTTTTAAAGCTTCTGTTGCATGGCAATCAGCTTTTGGTAGAATCGAAGAGATTGCAGTAGTTGATTGGCTTATTGCCTTCCTGCACAGTGCATCACAGCTGTCTGGAAAGTGTTCTTGAAAGTCATTAGGGTCTCCTTAGTTACAAGAAGAGGAGAGCAGTGGAAATTGCAGGCCTGGTGCTTTCCTGCATTCATTTAATATTTTTCACAGGTTCAGGTTTGTCACTGAAGACCAATATCTGAAAATTGCACGGGTCTGCAGCTGTCTTTTTTTTCCATGTGAAGCTTAACTTTGAAACATAATTGCATTAGCAGTTACAATAGTTTCAAAGGTGCTTGCGGCACTTAATATAGCGTAACATTAAAGAGTATTTTTAAAATTTAAACCTTATGTCACAATTGACATGATGCTAAGAGCATGTTTTATTATTTTGAATTAAATATATTATTTTGAATTACTTATAAATAATAAGTAATTTATCAAAGTGCTTTCCCTTCTAATTACTTTTAGGTCTTTAAATGAAATTTTGGTACATTGTGAATGTTTTAATTGCTTATATTAACTAATGTGTTTTATAATGTGATCTAGAGTGTGTATATTGCTTGTTTAATGTGTATTTCATGATGTGGTTTTTTACACTTTAGATTTTATTCACAACCCTTTAAGACTTAAGGATTGCTGTGGTCACACATCACACAAGTGAGTAGATGTGTGTATATATAAAAACAGAGGTGTGAGGTGTGGTCCAGCAGTCTTGGAAGTGCAAATTTCTCTTTACTCATTCTTACTATACAACCTGAATTCTCTGCCTTGAAGTCCCCCCCCCAATCAGTTATAGAGCTAAGACCTTCTTGATATTCATGCTCCAAACATGATTTGTCTGATACTCCTTAGTTGAAACATTGTAAACCTACCCTTTACTGATTATACTGTCAACCCTGGTGGGCAAGTAAACCCTTTGAAAACCATCAACATGAAAAGTTTTTCTTTAGTTGTAGTCGGTCAGTATTTCAAACAACTGGTCAAGAAAGGTGCTTTGCCACTCCTTTGTTTTTATGCACCAGTAGTTTCACTTTACCCACTTTGAAATTTAGGTAAACCTTCCATTGTAGTACTCAGCAGCCCAGGCCCTTTTTTAAAATGAACAAAAGCCATCATAGGTTTATGTGAAATGAGATGGAAGCCAGGAGTAATACATTATGAATCAGCATGAATGTTTGAGCTATTTACCATGTTAAGGCAATAAGAGTTGTCATAGACCATTTCAGTTTCTTTTAGCTTTTAAATTCTATAAACGCTCATAAGTAACTCTCAGTGAAACATGAGGTAAATATTTTTTTGCGGTTCCATAGTTGATTTTCCCAGGTTTTGGAGCAGTTCAGTGCAGAAGAATGTCCACTATATCCATCTATTTCCAAAACCGTCTCATCCAAAACAAGGTCACAGGGGAGCTGGGGTTTATCCTGGCAAGCATTGGGCTCAAGGTGGGGTACAACCTGGATGGGACACCAGTCCTTTGCCGCATGCACATGGGCACAAACACACGACGGACAGTTTTCACAGAAACAAATTAACCTGCCAGTATATTTCTAAATTGTGGGAGGAAACCACCATACTGCCCTCTACACTATATCATGGTGTTAAAACACCTGAGTGATTTTCTCTTATGAAAGGGGCAGTAAGTGTGTGTTGAAGGGCCCTGACTTGCCTTTTTCTGCAGTATTACAGGAATGCCCAAGGAAAAATATGACCCGCCAGATCCTAGGCGGATGTACACAATAATGTCGAGTGAGGACGCAGCCAACGGGAAGAAGTCGTACTGGGCTGAGCTAGAAATCAGCGGTAAGTGACATAACTTTACTAGACACTGAGATCAGTGGGGAAAAAAAAGAAATCATCTTGCATAAGTGCTGAATCTCTCCAGGTGTTCTCAGTGAAAACTGTAGGATCTTTTTACATTTTTTTCCAAGACTATTCTCATCTTGATTTCAGATTGTATCAGATTTGGTTCAGGGTCCAAGACTGCATTCTTTTTTCCTTAGAAATCTTGCTTTTTTAAAAGGAAAATTGTTTTAAAAAAACAGACTTACAAGATCTCAAAGTTTCACTTTTAAAATGTATGAAAAATGTCCTGTAAATATGTGGATGTTTAAAGTGGCACAAAAAAATGATATTTTAATGGTAAATTTTTATCGATCATGATGCAGTTGTATGCAGGTTGTAGCAATAAAGTTGCCCCAGTGTACCTACTTCTGCATCTCAATTCTGCATTACAACAAACCCATTTGTTTGGTTTTATTCAATGTAACATTTTCCAACCTGTGAGCCTAAAGCTTAAGCGGTGACTTTTTGGAATTATTAAAGGCCCCAGCTCTCATGCAGACAGACAATTGCATGTAATTGGTTTTAAATTTAAAAAATGGAGAGATGTTATAGCTTCTGTGTATTTTTGTTCTATAAATTGTACTCCCTTTCTGAAACAACATTTGCCAAGGTATGCTGAATGACTTGGGTTCTTAATACAGCCTTTGATGATTTTTCAGTTCAGGTGACTGATAAAACCGGACTGAAAATGTCACCTACTTAGCAGCAGCTTATGAACTGTTCTGTCGCATTAGATATAAATATAAAACGTTGGTTAAATATTCATTGCTGGTAGTTCTAAATTGTGGACAGTGCTCAGGATAATAAAGTATTTGAGTACAGTGTTTTTTTTTCCCCCATCCTTTACAGGGAACGTAAGGAGCTTAAGCACTGCATTGTGGTCACTGACGCACTTAACCGCATTGCATCTCAGCGACAATTCCCTCTCACGCATTCCGCCAGACATTGCCAAACTCCATAATCTGGTATACCTGGACCTCTCATCCAACAAGATCAGGAGCTTACCAGCAGAGCTCGGAAACATGGTTTCACTCAGGTAAATGGGCTCTTTCTCAGCAGGGTATGAATTGAAGTATGTGAAAACATCTCACTAGAAAGGTTGTGGTGGACTTTTGATATTGGTGTAAGGCTCAGGTGCCTCCAGTAGGTTTTTAAGATGCCTTTAAATTGAGAGCTCCTCGAACTGGGAATAACTGTTAAAACAGCTCCAGGTAAGGTCATAATTAAGGCAGTTAAGCCAATAATTAGTTCAGTTGGGTCATGATGTGAACTGGAAAAGCTGCAGACACAGCAGCCCTCCAGGATTGGGCTTGTCAAGGATTCTGCGACACAATTGCTGGAAAATGTGCACGCCCACTGAACTTGTTTGTGAAAACCTCATTTTCAGGGCTACTGGCAGGTTTTTTATTTGCCCTTTTCAATTTCAAGAAATAAACTTTTTCTTTGACCTTCAGCAGTTTCTTTAGTGATTGTTGGAAAACAAAACTGTCAGGTACAAATATTAAACCTTTAAAGGATCACTTAAATAAAAAAGGGAGAATATTAAATATGAAAAGAGATAATATTAACCACGTTCAAACATCAATAAAAAGGGAGAATATGATAAAACATCCAGACAGTTTGCATGTTTAGAAATAGCTCAATTAAAAAAAATATATTTTTTGAATATTTGAAATATTCAAAAAAGTCACATGGGTGTTCATTTTTGTTAACATAGATACATGTTGTATATAAGGCTTAAATATATTACCTTTCATAAAGTAGTTCCCCTAATTTAAGCCCTTGCACCCCTTCTCTTTAGATGTTACCCCTATGATTCTCTAGAAAATTTAGAAATGAATCCCATATCTCCCTGAATTCCCCCATTTTTGATTTTAGGAGATAAATTATCTTTTCCAATGCATGGCATGAAGTCACCCCCTTCAGCCATTGTGACGCACAATGACTTTCTTCCTGTCTCCAAACACAAGCTATAACTCATTTTGCTTCAAAAATGCAGATGGTTACCAATAAACACTCCTTTTTATTCATCCTAATCTCTTCTAGGTGTATATTAAGAATGGTTCAGGTGGGTAGCTGTGTCTGCATTTGTAGTCTGCAAAGGAACAAGTAATAGGTTTATTCCATGCTGAAAAGAGAAGAGAGAAAACAATGTTTTGGCTGTGAAGCCTTCTTCAGGTGTCTGAAATTTTGACTGAAATAAAACGGACATTTTAATTAGAATGATTTTCCCTATCATTGATATGGGCAGTTTGGTCCACCTATTTATTGACTCTATTACAGATTCTATTAAAGGATTATCATTTGCTGGGATGTTTGTTGACCACTGGGGTAATCTTAATGCCTAAATAAGTAAAACCCTCCTACTTCTCTCATAAGAACATTAAAGCTGATTTATTGTTATTTATCTTATACCCTGAAACAATCCCATATGTTTTAATCAAAATATAGGTGAGGGTATGGAATAATTTAATTGGAAAGAAATAAAATTGTCATCACCGTGTAATGCTATCCAATGTTCTACATTACCTATATTTCCACCATTAATGTTGGTATGTTTACAAATAGCCATGGCCAATGGTTCAATGGCCAGTGTAAACAACAAAGGCGACAAAGGACATCTTTGTCGTGTTCCTCTGCTTAGATTAAAAGGGGTGGATATCAAACCATTGGTTAGAATGTCAGCGGATTGGTTAGCATAAATGGCTTTAATCCTTTTCCTATCCCCATTCTGGATAGAACCTCAAACAGATACTGATGTTCGATCCGATCAAACGCTTTCTCTGTGTCTAATGATAATATTGCATTGTCAGGCTCCCCTTTCTTTTCATATACAAAGTTGAGTACCCTTCTAATATTGTGGAATGCTTGCCTATCTCTTAACAAATCCACTTTAAATCACTATGAACTAATTGAGGCAAAAGAGTCTAGTCTTTTTGCCAAAACTTTGCACTAAATCTTTGGCATTATTGATCAGCGAAATGGATCTGTATGACCCTCGTTCTAATGGTGAATGGGTTTTAGTAACAACATAATTAATGTACGATTTAAAGGAGGTAGAGTCCAATTTTATGTGACTCCTGATAAATGTCCATAAGAGGCTGAATTAGCTTACTTTTAAATATTTTATAGATTTCAATAGGGATGCTACTGGGCCCTGGTGTCTTTCCTCCATGTTGAGAATGGCTTCAGACACCTTATCAACCTTTAAGTTATCCTCTAAAACTGTGACTAAATCCTCCTCTAGTTGAGGAAACTCCAGAGTATCTAAAAAGTCTGACTGCTGGGGCTGGTAGGCCTCTGAATATTCTGAACTATATAGCGTCTCGTAATAACATCTAAATGCATTATTTATCTCTGTTGGATCAACCGTAAGATTTTCCTCTTCAGACTGAATTGCATTTATTGCTCTCTGATTGTTTCTGTTTGATGCGCCACGCCAGTAATTTGCCAGCTCTTTCTCCCTGTTTGTAATAACTTTGTTTCAGTCACAGTAAACTTTCTGTTGCCTGATTTGTTGATAATTTATTATAGAGGGCTTTTACTTTATTCAATTCAGAAATTAATTCAAAGGAGCTAGTTGACAATATTTTGCCTTCTTGTTCTTTTATTCTGTTCTCTAATCTTTTCATTTTGAGTTGGGAGGCTTTAAATTCAGAGCTTGTATAGCTAATCATTTGACCTTTAAGAAATGCTTTAAAATCTTCCCCATCTCGCACAAGCTGAAGTTTGAGTTGTATTTACCTCCAAAAAGAAATCTATTTGTGCTGAAATTTTAAAAAGTCTGGATCTTTCAATCAAGTTGTCTGAAAACGCCACCTAGGAGGTCCTCTGAGAGAGTTTGAACATAGCTAATTAAACACATGCATGGTCTGAAATGATTATTGCATAACCATTTTGCATAACATTTTGTAATTTTAGGCAATAATTCTACAAATTTCAAGAAAGTCTATACTCAAAGTTTGAAAAGTGTCTGAATAAGAGAAAGCCTTAACTTTAGGGTTTCTAAATCTCCAAATGTCAAATAGGTTAAAATCTTTTGTATAATGCTGTAGCTCATTCCTTGTTTGCTGATGAGAAAGTCTCAATTCCAGTCGACCTATCTGTTTCAGGGCAGAGAGTACAGTTAAGATAAAATGACCTTGCAGTTAGGTCAGTATCATGAATAAATTTCTGTAAAAATTTGTTCCATAAACGTTTAGTAAATTAAGTTTAACAGAAAGTAGTTCACACTGGATAATGACATACCTCCCTGAACGGTCACATATTGTATCTTTTATTTGTAGAGAGATTGATTTGTGTATAAGAATAATGACTCATCTTGTCTAAGAGTTACACCAGGCAAAAAACACCTGTCCCAGCCATCTCTTATATACTCTATATCCTCAGACATTAAATGGGTTTCCTGGAGAAAAACTTTTTTAGATTTTAATTCTTATTCTATTCATTACTTGCTTTAACTTAAGTTTAAGCCTTTAAAATTCAATGATGTAAACGGTATTTCAAAAGGCACCACCATTGCAGCACCATTAATTTATTGATTAGAATTGTGCCATCTGTGTTATGCTCACTGCCGATAATAGTAATCCTACTTTTTAAGATGTATTCACATTCAGAACAAAGAACAAGATAAACCTTTCAAAAACCCTTAAAGAAAAACACAGTCAAAAAGAAAAAACATTGGAACATCAGGAGAAAAAAAACACTTCAACAATCGAGTTACCCGTCGCTTCCCCCCTACCTTCCATCCCTTTCCAGCAAGACCAGGCTATGGAGCCTGTTTGGTCCTTGTTCTTAAGGAACAGTTTTAACAATCCGGGCTGGACCCCTATAAATTACATTTACTAAAAATGAAACAGATCAATAATTTAGTGCAATATCTTAATGAAAACCAGTTCAACACCAGTCATCTTGAACATTACATAAAAATAAAAAGAATTTTAAAATATACAGCATTATAAACTTAACAAGAAATCAAATACTGTAGTCAGTCCGACTGAACTGAGATCAACAACAACAAACCTTTCTTTCAATAGCTAAGCACTGTACAATGCAACACATTGAAAGGCTAGAAAAGAAACTACAAAGCCAAAGTCATCTGTCACTTCCTGATTTTCATTTTTAAACTTCTAACGAATTTCTGTGCGTCTGATGGGCTATCAAAGGTGCTGTGTTTTTTCTTGTATCTCACACAAAATATTGCAGGGTAGATAATTCCGTATCTGAGACCAGGGATATCAAGAGCCCAAAGTTCCTTCTTTACCGTGTCAAACCTCATCCGTTTTTGGTGAAGCTCTGCTGAAATGTTCAGGAAGAACGTTATTTGTTGATTTTCAACCATTATTGTTCCTTTGTCTCTTGCTGTTTTCATGACCCGAACCTTGTCGCCGTAGTAAAAAATTATTATAACAGCTCTTGGGAAGGACCTTGACAGGTCCAGGGGGGCATAAAAGACAGTCATCCAGCATCTCAGGAAGCCACTTTTGTAGAAAAGCACACATCTTTAGCCTCTTTCTTTTTTCAGGTAGGCATACAAGTTGCAGGTTCGATTGGCGAAAAAATTTTGAAAGCATTTTTATAACCTGTTTATGTGATTATTGACATTATTATACAGAATTAGTCAATTGAATTACATTTATTTTTATATAGCACCTTTCACAACAAGGTTGTCCCAAGGTGCTTAACAGTGCAAGTGACCATACATTTTATGAATACAGAACAGAAAAGACCAGAAGACAACAGATGAGATTAGTCCTCACGTAAACAAAATTATAAAGAAATTGTTTCCATGGTAAATTTCTAAACCTATGGTTTAATTTTACCTTGACATGTTTTTTAACAAAGCATATTTACACTTCAGATTTCATTTTTGAGTATAATTAAAACTATTCATAGAAATATACATGGGGGCATATATATGTGTGTGTTTCAGATCTTTCTTTTTCTTTTTCAGGGAACTGCTTTTAAACAACAACCTGTTGCGGGTTCTACCTTTTGAGCTGGGAAAACTATTTCAGTTACAGACACTGGGGTTGAAAGGTATGGTGCAACTGACAAGCCTTCTCAGCTCACTAAAGTGACAATCTTCAATTTATTGCTTCACTAGCCTGAATGACAGTCACCCAACCTGTTTTAGCAATGCTATTTAAGTGTCAATTAGTTACTGGCATTATCAATGTTTTTTTATGGTATTAATAGCTTTCTTTGATTTACACTCTTTCCTTTGTCACCACACAACTGAATGTGCTAAAACTTGTTTCATGCTTCCATTTGTCTTCTGCTTAAAATAGCAGTGTGAACTGTCTGATGTACTTTTATTTTTCCTCAGGAAACCCACTTGCACAAGAAATCTTGAATCTCTACCAGGAACCAGACGGGACACGAAGGCTACTGAATTACTTGCTTGATAACTTGGCTGGCACTGCCAAAAGAAGTAAGTTGGAGTCGTTTGGAGCCAATTGTGTGTGCTCTTCTGAAATAAACCCCACTTTTAACTGCAAAACCTCTTCTCTTCAGTTCCAACAGAGCAGCCCCCTTCAAGGTCATGGATTGTGCTGCAGGAACCAGACCGGACACGACCGTCAGGTGGGAGAGGCACCACTCTGATAGGGCTGACTGTGGGTGGGCTGTATTCCAGCATTCAGTTCTGTTCTTTATGTCCACTCCTGTTCCTTGCTAAACATATTTTCCTAGCCAAGCTGCATCAGCAGGTGGTGTCAATGGTCTATAAGGAGATTACTGCTGTCCAGTAAGTAGAATTAAACATAGCTTTTTTTCCCTACATAAACAAGTGAGAAACTAGATCTAGTAAAATAAATCTTAAATTAGCTTTTTTTCCAGTATTTTTCATGCCCCACACACAAAAACCCTGATCATTTTTATTTTACAGCCAAATAGTTTTTTCTTTAAATTCAAGCCTTTTCAATTTTTTTTTTACTTTACTGCCTTTCATACATAAAGCATTAGCAGGTAGATGGTACACAGTGTTGAGATACGAATATTTATATTTGTCTCTTCCTAAACCAGAAATTGAAAAGTATGTTCTTTTAAAGTTGTGAAACAGACTAACAGTATTTGGATCAAACAGGACATAGATTGAGAGTAAATGCAGATTTTAATCTGGAAATATTTGCAGTACATCCTTGTTTGCTTGTGCTCTGTAATATTCCTTATTGGGATATGTTTACCATCCATGAGTAGAGTGGGAGTGGTTTGTACTAGAAAAATCAAATTACAAATTGGGAAATTTAAAATGTTAGAATGAGGATCTTTTAATTCATTCTATATTATTGGTTGGCTTCTGCCACCATGAATGACTGATTGTTCCAGATTTGAATGTGTAAATTTTATTTGGATTTTGTTTTTTCCTCCTTGCAGCTCTGTTTTCTGTTATGTGCTACAATGTACTCTGTGATAAGTATGCTACTCGACAGTTATATGGCTACTGTCCATCATGGGCTTTAAACTGGGAGTACAGGAAGAAATCAATCATGCAGGAGATCCTAAGTTGCAATGCAGACATCATTAGTCTTCAGGTAAAAAAACAACCTAACATTTTCTAGATAGCTTTATACAGTGGTCATACTAAGTTAGATTTAATGACGCTATGGGATTTGGTGACTAACTGAAACCTTATATTGTTGAGATGGTCCTTCCTAAATCTGTCAAACAATGAGTAGTTCATCCAGTGTTACCAATTATTTATACAACATGTGCAGTTACTTAATGGCGTATGCATACAGAGAAAACAGAAAATATTCTTGAACTTTATATAGTCCTGCATGCATAAGAATCAGGTTATATTACTTTTTTGAGCAACCTTAAGTCTTTTGCAAGGCAGTGTAAGTACCAGTAAGTCTAGTATTTCTAAAACTTGCCTGAGCACAGGTATAAGCAGCTTATGTTCAAATTACACAGTGAAGTAGATAGTATTTGCTTTACCTTTGTAACCTTTGGTCCCCTCTATGTAGGAGGTAGAAACAGAGCAGTACTACAACTTCTTTCTGGTGGAGCTGAAAGAACAGGGCTATGATGGCTTCTTCAGTCCCAAATCCCGAGCCAGGACAATGTCTGAGTCAGACAGGAAGCATGTGGATGGATGTGCAATATTCTTCAAAACAGAAAAGTAGGTGGTGCTTCAATCGCAATCCTGACAAACATGCAAAATGAAACTCTGCTTTAACTGAGTGTTTTTTGTCATAGCCTGCAGTCTTCTCTGAAATCTCACTGTTCATAGACCTGAACTGTACAATGAAACTAATTGTGCGGATTATATGAAGTGCAATGTAAATTTTCACTTTTATATTTCTGAAGGAGAGCTTCTTAGCTGTATAGTCCTTAAAAAAGTAAGTCACACTCAACAATGAGCTTTAAAATCTCTGAAATATACAGTAACCAGCAGTGTCAGTTTAAAAATATGCCATTTTACAATTACTTTCCCTTGAATAGCTTGAATAGTTCCATGCTTTCTGTAACTTAGGGGACATAAGCGGCTTGCTTCAGAAATTCTAGCACACAGTGTATTTGTCCTGCAGTGCTATTAGAGGTTTTCAGCCTGTAATCTTTAAGGTTCATCAGTGCGAATATTAGCCTTATGTTCTTGCAAAGCTTTAAAATTAACTGATGGTACACTCTGTATACTGATCAACATTTTAATGGCATGGTTCAATCAACACCCAATCTACTGTCAAAGTCAAAAGCTAGTTGTAGCTAGTAGGAAGTACATCTGAGATACCTTCTGTGCACCAGGTTACAATCGTCAGAACAACCGGTAACTCACACACACTGATTCAATACACAAGATACATTTATTTATTGTGCACCAAACATATATATCAGGCTGCCTGGATACAGGTGGCAAATCTTACTGTGAGGGTTACCAAAATTGCAAGGTATATAATAACGAAGAGATTCAAACACAAAGAGATACACAACAGAGAATATACTTTGGTATACTGTTCGGCTATACCATATCGTTAATCAGTCTCATTAACCACTGCTACACTATACTCGAAAGTACATACTACTCGTGAATTAAATTGATAACTTGTGTTGAGGTAACAATTAAATTCTCAATTTGCAATGTAGGATATTGGGTTTACTTATCCACTGTATATGGATTTGGATTTCCCGGCACGGGCACCAAAACCAGCTGGCAGGCTCTGTTGCAAGCTCTGTCGCAGCGGTTGAGCAATAGGCGTTGTCCCGTAATCCTCTTGCTACCAGCCAACTAGTCCAGGTGCAGCTCGGAGTAGGACAGAGGGGGGAATCTACGGTGTGCAGTGCAGTCGGTTCTCCCAGGGGTCTACTAGCAGTCCGGCTGACTAGTAGAAAGTCTATATGCACAGAGGGTCACTTACGGGTCTGCGCAAGTCACTCTTTAGTTTAAAAGCTTACTCTGTGCCTTACAGGTTTAGCTTGGTCCAAAAACACACAGTTGAATTTAACCAGCTAGCCATGGCCAACTCGGAAGGATCGGAAGCCATGCTGAACAGAGTGATGACCAAGGACAACATCGGGGTAGCTGTACTGTTGGAGCTGCGCAAAGAGATGATTGAAATGTCCTGTAAGTTGTTCACCCTTGGAACCGTTATATCATCTTCATTCTTTTGTTATGTATTTTTTATTCTCTCCTGTGTTGATCTGTAATTTGAACTGCTCATTCACCATGCTGTTTAACCAGTAATCATATTTACCAGAAATGAACATACACAGGCTAGTCTTGTTTTTTCATAGGGTAAAATGTCTATGTGTTGGGTGTTCTAGACAAGTCTGTTCATCAGTCATGCATATAAATCCAGTGTGCTAGACTTGATTTCATATCACATTATGCGGAGACAGATATTTTTAGTTTTTTTTAATGGATTTAATGGTCATCATGCAGTTGCATGATGGAAGGGGGGAACTTGAATTCTGCAGGCAATATTTAGTCCCTACTGGGATAATAGAGTGTCTTCTCATCAATTCAGCTGGGAAGCCCCTTCATGGCATGGAGAAGCAGCTCATCCTAGTTGCCAATGCGCACATGCACTGGGACCCTGAATACTCTGACGTCAAGCTGGTACAGACCATGATGTTCCTGTCTGAGGTCAAGAACATCATTGACAAGGCCACCCGAAGTCTCAAGTTATCCTCTGTGTCGGGGGAAACCAACGCCATCCCCCTTGTCCTGTGTGCTGATCTGAACTCCTTGCCAGATTCAGGTGAGTGCTTGTAGTTGTGGTGGCCTAAAGAAAAGTATATTTTTGTGCATTTTAAAAATGACAAAAGTTTTTAAAAGGATTTAAATTCTGCCAAGAATTTAATTTGTAAATGTAATTGATGTGCATGTGAATTTGAGTTTGTGAATCTTGACAAAGGATTGTTCAAGATGGAAATGGGTTAACCTGTTGCATTAATTACCCCCCTTAAACTGAACAAGGTAGATGTTTGAAAAGCACTCACCTTAAGCTTTTTGATTAAGTTTTCTAAGCCTTTGGCTCTGGTCTATTTTTAACATGAAAGGCCTTTATTTCCAGAGCCTGCTTTTGATTTAAAGCAGCCAGGTTAGTGGTTGTGGGTCTGCTATTACTTAATGTTTACAGTATTAGGTTATGGATTTGTCATGCCTAAAAATAAGGTCTATTCTTACATTGTTGCAAAACGGAGACTTCTATTTTTTGGTCTCAGGAAATGGTTAATAGCTCTGTGATGTAAGTATAGAATTACTGCATTTTTAGTTAGAATGTTACAGTGAGATGTATTGAGTTTGCTGTATGCAAATTTTAAAACCTTCTTTTTGTTCCTTGGCTCTTTGAAAACAAATATGTTTTTAATATTTAACTCCAGGCTTACACAAATTATTCAAACCACTGCTAGTGGTTACAAAATTAATTAAATTTAAATTGCGGTAATTAAAAGACCTGCTGTTCCCTTTAGTTTATTCATACATGTTATTGTGATTATGATATTGTCAATTAGATTGAAACAAATTCATGATTTGTCCATATAGAGGGAGATGTTTATTTTGCATGGTGTGTATGTTCCTTTAACAACCAGCAAACAGTAAAGTTTCTAAAGTCCTTTTGATACTTGGGACTTGTTGCATAGTAGTCCTATGTAGATAGTGGGAAACATGAATGTATTTAAGCTATCATGTAATTTGTAATTCATTATGTTGTGGAAATGTGAAATATGCAGATATGTGATTTAATTGAGATTAGGTAGCACAGTTTGTTTTAAAGCTTTATTGAAAAAGCATTAAATTTCATGCTGCAGTTACAATGTGTTATCTATTAAAAGGTTAACACCTTTATAGGAGTTAAAATCTAGAACTTGATATTTTGGGAGGATTGAGTGTATACAGAAGCTGATCAGTTCCTTAAAGCTCAGCATCCTGTTGTGCACTGTGTGGAGTTGGTTACACAGCCATGACCTCTATCCTATTCAGCTCCCTCTTTATTATCCACATATATTATTTCCTAAAATGCTAGGTTATCATTTGTGCAAACAGTTTCTTGATATACAAGATTTATGCATCTTATTTACAATTCAAAGTATAGTTATTAATTGGTTTGTATGTGTGAAAGTTTATAGGTTCACAACCTGCTCTTGAAAGTCCTGCCTTCAGGTGACTTAAATAATTATTCATACCTTTGGCATAAACAGTGTCCATGACATTGAGAATATGGAGATTTACTGGCACTAGTTTGCGTTTTCCTTCGTTTGGTATTCTGCAGTGTGGTTAAAGCACTGCCCTTTAAGAAATCCCGTTTGTAGCTCTGTGCTGACCCCAGCTGTGTGTTCCCAGGTGTGGTGGAGTACCTGAGTACGGGAGGGGTTGACTGCACACACAAGGACTTCAAAGAGCTGCGCTACAGTGACAGCCTCACCAACTTCAACTGCAACGGCAAGAACGGCACGTCCAACGGGCGGATAACTCACGGCTTCAAGCTCAAGAGTGCCTACGAGAATGGCCTGATGCCTTACACGAACTACACGTTTGACTTCAAGGTGCGATCACGCTTCGAAATATTGGATGTGCTTTCTCTTGTCTTACGGCATTTAAAGCCCTTGAGCTATGAGATAAGTTTGGTTATAAAACTGCTGTTAAATCATTAAGTAGTTTAATGCATAAACCTCTATGGTTATGAGTTTAAATATGCCAGCCACCTTCCTTTATTACTTAGCCTTTTTTAACCTTTCTTATTTCAATAATATGCAGCTGTGTGCCTTCATGTGCACATTCATGCCTGTTGACCCAGAAGCAGTTTCCACAATGTTTCAGATGTTTTAGACAGAAATGAAAAAGTAGCTCAGAAGACACAAGTGAAAGGTTCATTCCATGCTGAAAAGAAAGGAAACAACGTTTTGGCTGTAGAGCCTGCTTCCTACTTGAACTACTGCTCAAAAGACATTCTTACTTTTACAGGAAGAAATGAAAGAAAGATGCAGGGAGGCATTGTTACAAAGGAAACTGCTTTGTTTCAGACATTTCAGCATGGGGAGAGCTTGGATCTTGGGTGTAAGCAGCAGTACTCATTTGATCACACAGGTGTCCTGTAACTTTTTTTTTTTTACAGGGGGTGATCGATTACATCTTCTACTCCAAGCCTCAGCTCAACGTACTCGGCATCCTAGGCCCTCTTGATCCTCACTGGCTCATTGAGAACAATATCAGCGGATGCCCACACCCGCACATCCCTTCAGACCACTTCTCCCTTTTTGCACAACTGGAGCTCGTGTTGCCCTACCCACCCCCTGTCAATGGGATCCACCTGCCTGGCAGGAGGTAGTTGCTAAGCCAGCTGAGGGCACACCTTCCCTCGAACTATCTTGTAAACAAAATGTAAAATCAAACGTATAGAGGAGTGAGGTATGGCCAACAGGGATTTTTTTCTCCTAATTGTTTTCACGAATTTTAAGTCAATCTTATTACTAAGTTCTTTCCAGGCAAAATTATGAACCCCTTTATGCTTTGTATACTGTCAGAATGGACCTTTTTTTGTAAACACCTTCCTTTGGTATTTGGATTTTTTAACCTTGATTATTATATGCCTTTAAATGTGCGCATTCATGCCTATAGAAGTACACAGGGTTTGCACAATGTACTGCCTCTGTTTTAGAGAAAACATTAAATGGTGAAATCCTGCATTGTATAGGATTAATGTTAAAATTCATATATGAGATAGAATGATATCCATTGCTGTGAGAAACGTAACATCAAGTTAAACATTGTCTCACATATTGAAGCCATTATTAATTTGTGTCGGGCTACACTGGGCAAAGTAAGTGCCATTGATTGTGGATTATTTTGTCTTTATTATACTTGGGGTTATTATTTCACATCATTTCATTATTTCCCCTTAACAATATCATCTGCAGTGCATGCTCAGTAACTGGTGACCAAAGTTAAGACCAAGACATCTGATATCTAAAGACATGTTTTCACAGATTCAGCAATGCCAGAGTCTGCTCTCTAGGTGCTAGAAAAATTGCCTTTCTACAGAAATGGTGCAGTTTTTATCAAAGAAAAATACATTAGTGAATTCTGGAAGTATGTATTGGCTCTTGAAACACTGTTTAAACTTTTGCTGTTTTCATGTCAAAATTGAGCAATCAGAACAGTAAAACGTCTGGTGTGTTGTATTCTGCCTGTTAAAATAGTGCTTGAATATGGGGATGTAAACAGCTACACTTAGCCCAGCAGCAAACATGTTATTACTGTTAAATTAAAGCAGCTTTAAAAGTATTGCACTTTGATCACAAGAATGAATTTAGTGATGGATGACTTGCTGAAAGTAAGAAGAATTTCAGAACTGTGTAGTCATTTTAAGAGCAGATGTACCTTTCTGGCATCTAGCAGGTGGTTATAAAGTTGGTCATTTTTAATTTCTCAAAGTACTGCATAGCTCCTGTTGCTTGCAGTTAAATTGTTTAAAGGATATTTATACAAATGGACTTAAGTTTGTGGGTGATTACAGCTACATTTGTGTTGAACCCTATTAAATTAACAGTGACTAATGATTTTACAGTAATATTACCCTTGTGTTGTAATTTAAGTCAAGAAAGTGACCTACTTCGTTGTCACCTGCTTTTGTATGTGTGTGATTGTACTTTTATAGGCATCTGCGCACACAGGGATCTGTAGCACTGTCTTTGAGGCCAGTCGTAACCTTCTAAGGCCATTCTTTCCATACTTCACTCCAAGGTTTTTTTCAGAGAAGTGTTTGTATAAAATAGAATTTGGATTTAGCCTTTAATGATTGTATATGAACCACAAAAGACCTGATTTATGGCATTTTTGTACTTTAAAAATCAATTTGGAAAACAATGATTGTATTGTAAACTAAGGCTAAATTTTTATCTGTTTTGCGTGTTATTAAAAGAAGAAAAAACCAGCTTGTAAAGAAAGATGTTATAACAGGTTTTCTCTGCTAATATTTGCACTGTTCTGGGTTAAATTTCTGTATGTACCATGTTTTTTATTTGTATTTTGAGAACATTGCTTATTTTAAACTTCAAGACTCCACTTATAAAGCAGTTTGAGCCTTATTTCTAGTACTAGAATGCTTTTTTCAGTATCAGTTAGATGGAACTCATCTCTTTTCAGTTCTGATCATTCAATTCAGAATTAAAAGACAGGAAAGAAGGCAGTCTTAAATGTCCCGTGCCGTTTAACAGTCATCTGTACTCTTGGAGCAATATTCTAAGACTCTCGGGAAGATCCTCGTCATAATTTGACGGATCCCCTAAACCGAAGGAAAAACCTAAAACATCACATTCATTTCTCTGTCATGGATATACATCATGCTATGGGAGGGAAGTAGTCTTGAGACCCCATTCCCACATAAAAAAAAATCATTGTGCCTCATCAGTTGTGTTCTCAAACAGCACTGCCTGTGCAAGCAGGGAAAACCTGAACAGCATCTTTTAATTTTTTAAAATACTGTTAACAGTTGTGAAGATTTTATGAAGTTTTTTTTGTATTAGCTGTGGCATTTTTTTTCTTCTTGTCCTCTCTTTTCATGGAGTAATGAATTCCATAGTAATCAGGTTAAGTACGGCAAATGGAGATTTTGTAACTGCCGAAACCTTAGAACTGCTTCTGTCTCTTTGCACAGTGCTTGGATCTTCTGTTTTTTGTTTTTGTATTTATACACCAAGGAAATTTCATGCTATACCTTTGGAAACTTGCAGCCTGGTCTTTAAAAGCATCCTTCCTTGGTTGTATTTTAAACTTCAATTTGAAACGGTATGAAGAGCAACATTTCAAACTTGGAAAACCTATTAAATGATTTATTTAATGAAACAGGGACCGAACCATGCTTTTCTGTAGAGCTAGACCAGTGCTATAATTTAATCTTTTCATTGATAGTGCCATCTATTGCGTATTACCATAAAGCCAAGTGTAGAGTTATTATAAATTTAGTTACTGTACCCTTTTTTGATCTTTTTTAAAAAGTAAGACACTTTCATGTCTAGCTTGATGTAGTATGTCATATGAGCCACACATATAGCCTGGTCTAGCTTGAGTTTCATCTGCTGGCAGGGAACCATGCAGGGTATGGTGGTACTGTTAAGATCTGGAAAGTCCTAAATTGACAACATAGTTTAATTAGCAGATGTGACATGCTGCACTGAAGAAATGTTTTTCTTTTTTTTAAAAAAGCAAGCAATTGACAAGCACTTAATGTAGATCGATAGTGCAGCTACTCCTTAAAATTGAATCTTATCACCCTTTTTTAAAAGAAAAATGTGCAAGTGTAAATTTTAACATTTTTTACAAAGAACGTTTGATCTGTAGTCCTTGTCTGGGACCTGCTCTTTTTTTGCTTTTATTTGAGCAAATAGCAAACATGTCCAGTTTATAATTAGTACCTTGAAATACTGGTAGTATTGTAGTAGATTTAAAAAAGTAGTTTTTTGTAAAGTGTGAATAAAAGGTGTTATCTCATGTTTCCTTTCTTAAAAACAAATTGTGTTGTTAATGTGTATCATGACAAATATTCAATAGTATTATGATTGGTTGGTAACTTTTTTCTTTTACCCATTGTCATCTTTTTTTATTATCCAAAACTCAAACCAATTTTTTTCTTTCAAAGTGTTAGCAAGCTGAATTCTTAGTGTTTTTGGCTTCTAACTTGGATCAGAATCACTTCTTACCTTGAGGGCATGATTTTGCGTTGTGCCCTCTTTTTTTAAAACAAGAAGAAAAGAAGTTTTCAGCGTCACCAAATGGGAATCCCAGACTCATATCTTTAGCTTATTTTAGACGTCACATAGCGCAGGCTAGCACAGTTGTGAAAATAAGTGGGCCAGGTAGACCCGCTGATCAGTGGTTGATGCTTCAGTAGAAAGAGCCCTTTGCAAAGTGGTGTTAACGTGTACGTTTAAACACATGCCAGCAGTGTCCTTAGGACAGAGGTGATATTGTAATGTGAGTCTACTATTGCACCCTCTCGTTATATATGTTATTGTGCTTCTAGTGGTGAGTTAAGTTTAAATCGTGTTCTCTGCTATTTAAATAACTGAATATGCCTAGAGGCACCTTTCTCTTGTGCAATGGTGCATTTGGAATAAGGCCTTAGGACAGGGAGGGGGTGGGGGAATAGAGTGAGGGGTTAAGGGTAACCCTGAACTTAAGCCCTAAACTTGAGTAATGATCAGCAGATGGTGCACATGCACTTCTACTTTAACTTGCATTCATTGTATTGACCCTTTTTTTTAAAAAAAAACTTTTGCACTCTGATCAGTTACTGAAAGCACTATCTCAATATTTTGTTGTAGAACAATCTCCCACTTGATTAATTTGCATCCATCCTGTGATATGTTTTGGGGATTGTAGTTATGATCACACTTAGGACAGTAGAATGGTAGGGAGAACAAGTACTTTCCCTTTGTTAAAATTTTGAAAACACTTCCTTGTTTGGTAAACAGCTTGCAATATTTAGAACAATCATCTTTCAATTTTAGATGATAGGAAATTTCTGAAATTTGGCAATAATGGTTGCTCATTTGACTTTGATTTGTTGTCTTGGTTTTTTTTTTGTTGCTAGCCTCGGATGTTCCTGACCCATTTGGCAGAAATGCTCAATTCCACCTGCTTTGCTGATTCATTTGACCACCCCTACTTCCCTGTTCTATCCACAAGTTTGTGATTCCTGCTGTTTCCACCTCCTTTTTGCCAGTAGTGTTAGTCGTTCAATGATCAGGATTGCCTATCTTTAGCCGACAGATGAGTACATATATATAATGTTCCACTATGTAATGCACTGGACCAACTCTTGTTTACCATTCGTGGAATACCAGCAAAACACTTGCACAAAGTTTAAAAAGAATGTTACGTTAAAAAAAACAAAGGCAGCTGTTTTTAAATAAATATTAGGAACTGTAAGGGGCCTAATGGTAAACAAGGGATTTTCAATTTACTGTTATCCTTAACAGTTTTCTTGGTTATCTTTGAACTAGTTTTATGTTTATAACAGGGTCAGCTTGTTTCCTTTACACCTATGTATTTTCCTACTTATGGTTGAAAATAAATTCTATATCTGTTTCAGCTTTTGTGTAGTGTACAAGTTTTTGCTATGAGATCTGGGAATCTGGCATTCAGCATGGTTAAGAGAAAACCTGTTCACAATGGCAATTGCTTCCCAAATTTTCATAGACAGGGGTGGATGCTATATTACATTATATAAATACATTTTCTTTTTGAAGGTTTCAAATTCTTCAAACTTGACATTTAAAACGGCTTATCTGTAGATTTTGAAAACATCTGGAAACAAAGGGGGATTCATGTCTCTGTAGCACTCGGTAAGTACAATATTGTCTTTAATGGGCAGAAATCTTTATATCTGAACTGAAGTGTTAATGTGGTTCAGAACCACCTGAAGCCAATGTTTATGCAGCTCTATATTGGAATGGTCGATGAAATTCAGCACAAAGGACATTTTGGTTTTGGACTCTTTTAACCCAGAGTAGAATAAAGGCATATTCCCTGTTGGTGACATTTTTATGAACGTTTTCAATTTAATATCTTGTAAAATCTGGTGAAAGATACATTTTGGTGATTTATTGTACAGTGTTATCTACTGCTACAGCATAATTAATAACATTACAGGCAATCAAGATATTGGTAGCAGCAGCATATCACCCTGCAACTCGCAACTGGCAACGCACTGAAGCTAAGCAGGTGTGAGCCTGGTCAGTACCTGGATGGAGACCTGAGGTTGCTGCTGGAAGGTGTTAGGGGGGGCACGCTCACCCTGTGGTGTATGTGGGTCCTTATACCCCAGTATAGTGATGGGGATGCTATACTGTAAAAGGGTGCCATCCTTTGGATAAGATGTAAAACTGAGCTACTGTCTCTCTTTGGTCATTAAAACTCCCAGGGCGTTTCTTGAAAAGAGTAGGGGTGTAACCCTGGTGTATTGGCCAAATTTCCCATTGGCCCTTACCAATCATGGCCTCCTAATAATTCCCATCAATGAATTGGTTTCATTTCTCTGTTCTCCTCCCCACTAATAGCTGATGTGTGGTGAGTGTTCTGGCGCACTATGGCTGGAGTGAGTGGAGTGTCCAGAAAGGCACTACATAAATGTAATAATTATTATATTTGGTCAGACAATCTGCAATAAAGCTTGTTACCTCTAATCAGTTTCCTATTGATAAAAGATGCACTGATTTATGAAAATCGCCCAATGGGAAATTGAGAGAAGTTGGCATTTGTATATATATTTTAAATGGTCTTCAAAAGTTAGAGTAATGTGAAATACTTTTTTAGCCATGGCAAAATATTTACTAGAGCTCACTGATACAACTTACATATTTTTTGTACAATTCTTTTATTCAATGCAAAACACAATATTTAATAGAACAATATCAATAAAGATGATAATTGCATTAGGATCACAAGGAAGGGGTTAGGATTTAGGGCCAATCAAAGAGCACATGTTAATGTTATAGCCACTTACAGCCTTTAGAGGGCAGCAGTTGACCAAGGATAGAAATGTCAAAGTATGTTTATTCTTGGGTATGTGCAAGTTACCTTGTTCCTTTTACCAGGAATAAAGGACATAAAGCTGAAGAAATAAGACACAAGATCTTTAAATGAAGATTCTTTTATAAAGTGTTATCCAACAAAAGGTTACTTGCATATCATCTAGCAAAGACCTGAGAATGTGTGATGGAACCCTGCTATTAAGACATACAAACCAATAAAGTGCTCTGTTGTTAAATTGGTAATTATCAAAGAAACAAAATAAGATATGAAGGATTTTAATACACATCAAAATATGTAGCATTTCTGGTGAAAACCAGCTAAAAACTTGCCAGTGTATGTTAGCCTCACCTTGTACATCATGCAGACAATTGAATCAAAGATTCAAACAAAGAGTTTTCAAAGTTCTTCCGCTGATGTGTTGTTTCAGACTGTATGGTTATTTCCTAAACACAGAAATACATTGTCACAGGATTAAGGTAATTGTACATTTCTAAAATTGAGTTCTTGAAGATTCAAAAATAGAAAATAGAACGTCCAAGAAAACAGCATCTGGAATGAAAGAAATATTATTAATTTTTGAGGGTTGACTACGCTTAGCTTCTGTGGTTCGTCCTTCAGTGGATCCTTCCTTAGGCTTATTGAACCCATCAGACAATCCAATTGAAATGAGACCACAGATCTCATTTCAACAAAACTGCCTTTTGTAGTTCTAAATAAGGCCACTAGATGGTAACATACAAATGCTAGAAAGAGCCCTGCAGTTGCAAAATAACAGAAACTTTAGGGATGCTTGTAAGAGCTCCCCAGTGTCCACGAACTTCAGAGAAACCAAAATGATCTGAAAATAGGGAGCAGATAACACCCCAATGTAATCACTTTCACAATTCCATTTTTGTCCAACATGTCACATCTATGGTCTTATGAATACATGCATGAATATGTCAAAAAATGAATTTTATTTAGTTAGAACAAATTCCAAGGTACTAGACAGACAATTCAGTGACAAAGCCTCCACTCAGAGCTCAGGGACAGTCTACATTCTGTACGACATATAATACAGTATGTGGTGTTCAGGCTATTCCGTTAGCTTGTTCGATGCTTCTTGGGATGGAGTGGATTGGGGGATCTTGAGTTCACAGCTGTGGGGAGCTATGAGAAGAAATATTACCATTGAGAATGCAGTAGTGTGAATGACAGGCACTTAAGCTTCTGTTTCCAGCACTATATATATTATCGACTTTGCGAGTTGTGCTTACATCTCCTAACAGATGGGTGTTTCGTCAAATAGACCAGCCCGTCAAATTTAAAGTTAGAGGCAAGTGGAATTTCTGCCTAAACTCAGGGCTAGCATGCTCGGCTTGTTTGTAAATTAATTTATTTGCGGTTGTCAGCAACAAGAATTAACACTTTTTTTGAATCAGTGAATTTCTGCCAGTGCATTATATCCAAAAGGCTGAACATAATTGAATAACAGGATCCATGAAAACAAATTGTTTCATACAAATAAAGATGTGATAGTTGGATGGACAGCCACAAAATTACTACAGACTTTCTGCTGTATCTCAAAAAGGTTTCCAAATTAGCAAGTGGAAGGCACATAAAGCAATAACCATAGGATTAAACCAGTAGTTCATTTTTGCAGCAGTTGTGATGAAATCTAAAATCAAACACATCATTATTTTGTTTAAAGGTTTCATTCAAATGATACATAATGAATAGAAAGCAAAAGTCTGTATTCTCACCATCATAAATCAGAAACAGGAGTCTCCATTCCCAACAGAATAGACTGACATCCATTTTCAGCAATAACATAATTATTAAATCTGTTGAGGTTAGTAAAGCCATATACAGGACAAATACCACATTTGTTAATGTATTATATTCCAAGATTTTACATTATTATATTTTTGTTAAATATAATCCCATTAAGCTCTACAAGTCTCAATTGGGAATGTTACCTGTTATGTTAATCTCAGAATTTGCATGAGTACATAAGGCATATGGGAAAATCAACCAAACATCTATGGAAATGTCTGTAGCACTGCACACACAAATATTGGTAGCTCATGTCTGATCCATCTGGTGCTCCTGGAATCTTTAAGACAACATGATGGTACCTTACTAGTTGAATTGTCCCCAGTTAAGTGTTCTGACTGCTTCAACCCATAATCGATTATAAGAAAGTTATGATGAAAATCTGAGAGGAAGGTAAACTCGCACTTCTGCTCATCTTTGCATATACTGTAAGTCTTACATCCAGGATTTCTTTTCACTTCTCTCTTGCACAATCTGTCCCCTGCCTTGTCATCTACACCCTTGCTGAAAACTCCCTAGCTTAGTCCTTGCAATTGGCAGGAGTAAACTGAGGGGGTTTTTGGGTAGATAACTGAGCCTCAATTAGGCTGCCATTCCCTTTAAAATACTTTATACATATACATATGAATTGCATTCATTAAGATCTAACGAATCTACTGAACAGGTATTTATTTGGAGTACTTTTGGAGCATTGTCTGTTTGTATATTGGCATTGATGGACTGTGACTAAGACTGCACAAGCAGAAGAGCACAAATGCAATACAAACTATTGCCACATAGAGTTGCATCACCCCTCTAATCAATACTGATTCTGTTGTACTGTAGATACTGTGAGGTTCAATGTGTGTAGAGGAATCAGAGTCATGCAGAGTCCTCAAGACTCCTGGAAAACTACCAGTGATCTGGGTTTATTCCCAATCAGTGGATCCAAATTGGAAGAGTAAAAAAACTCAGCAACAAATTATTATAATAGTCAACAAATATTTTTAGAATGCTTAATATGTTCTGCTTTAAATATTTTTTAGAAATTATTTTATTAAGACTTTAAATACACTATACATTTTTTGTATGGTTCATAATTGTTTTACAGCTCAGGTAGTTTCTGATGGTAAGTCATCCATAAAGAAATTGATTTACATAATAGTGGCTGTTTGACTTTGTCTTCTAGGTCACAAGCCACTGCCTGATGAGCCTCACAGAGTTAGCAGAGGGTGATGGGAAGGAGAAACGTCTGCCAGCCTTCCCTTCCCTGCACATCACTTGGGAAAGCAATGCTGAAACTGTGAATTCTCCATGGAGGCCTGACACTTCTTCTAAACAATTAACCACCCAGGCCGATTTTTGCATCAAATGCCCTTGATTTTCAAATGCACAGAGCCACCTGTCTCAATACTCATGCCAGTATTTAGTTTATTTACCTAAAACAGACCAGAATTCACTTGATTTTGTTTAATAAAAAAATTGATGTTTCTCCTCATACTGTATCTAAAATATTTACTTTGTTTACATACACATTCATCAGGCATTTAAACGTATATGCACACTAAACATTTCAAGTTTTCTTAGTATCAAATCTTTTTTTTTTTTTATAAGCAGGCATCTCCATTCACTTTTACCTGATGAAGGCTCACTTCCCAAGCTGGGCAAAACCACATTTTATAATGTTACAATATAGGGTCTACCACTAAAAACAGACCTTCACCACTTTTTTACAATATTGTGTTTTCAGTTTTTTTTGCAAA